GCCAGCTGAGCCGAGGCTCAAACCAGCGACCCAGCGACCTTCTTGCTGTGAGGCGACAGCACTACCTACTGCGCTGCTGCATCGCCATATTAAAATTAAAAAGCATAAATAGCAACATGAATCACAAAATACAGCATCAATTAAAAAAATTGCAGGCTCATCTAAATATGAATTATGGCTTAAATCTAGAATTCTGGAGAGACTGCCTATCGCAACAGTTGCCTGTCTTTGAATTTATTATAGTCAGAGAAAGTCAGGGAATTAAACTTTTGGCTTAGAGTGTGAACCCTGCAATGATGACTTGTGTAAAACCAGATGATCAGGTTTCCCAGCATTATTTAAAATGATTCATCTTTAGCTTCTTTGGAAGAGCATTATTCAAATGAGTTCGAACTATTGTTTCAAAATACTTTTAAAACAAATGTAGTCAGGCTTTACCAACCCTGCATCACTAAGGCTACTGTAGAATGATGCTTATAAATGACATTTGGCTTTAGTTTTTGATTCTGTATTAGGTCAGTATACACAACCCTGGAAGAATTCAATAAAAGAACTCAAACTGAAAAAAAGAAACTATTGCATCACACATGATATGAATTGCACCACGATATTCCTAGAAGTTGTGGATGATGCAATCATAATTAATTGCTCTATGTGTGCAGTATGTATATTGTATGCATATACTATATGTAAGGGAAAAAAAAAAAAAAACATCTAGGCCAGGGGTGTCCAAACTCAGTCCTGGAGGCCAGGTGTCCTGCATAGTTTAGCTACAACTTCCTTCAACACACCTCCCTGGAAGTGTTTAGTATACCTAGAAAGAGCTTGGTTAGCTAGTTGAGGTGTGTTTAGTTAGGGTTTGAACTAAAATATAAAGGACACTAGCTGTAAAGGACCAAGTTTAGGCACTCCTGATGTAGGTGGTTGTTCTTGCAGAATAAATCCTAATATAAGCGTATAAGACTTAAGATGTATATTAGCAGCCAAAATATAACTGGGTAAAGTGGGAGTGTGCAGGTTACACAGACAAAGCAAAGACAGACATGGGAATGCACTTTTTCAAAGGAGAATAACTAGCATTGTTTTCATTTAGTAAGTTTTTTAGGGTGTACTCACACTAGGCATAGTTCCCTTGAACCAAACCCGGGTATTATCCCCACTCACACTACATGTTTACCTGCTGAGCCCATGCATGCTTAGGCCCAATCCCAATTTATTTTTGTACTCCTACCCCTTTCCCTTAGCCCTTAAAACCCAGTGTGAAGGGGAAGGGCTTTGCAATTTACACTTAAGAAATGGGACAGCACTACTGCACCTGCACACGTCATCATATGTTATTGCAATCTCTTGCTTTATATGAGATCAGACTATGGGGACTGCTGTAGTTATTCCAGTTGTGTTATTTTTTGGGATTTATTTTCAGGAGATCACTGAACATATATTATGTTATCAAAACGATGTTACAGTACGATCGTAACTATACTGTGCATTTACTCTGCTCTATCCTGCCATTGTGATTGGTGTATTCTGGGAAATTTTCTTACTTCTTGGTTTCGAGTTTGGTCCTGAAAAATGTTTGTTTGAAGGGGTATCTACCCCTTCCCCTTAGCTCTACGCCTTCAAGCTAAAGAGAATTGGGACACCCCTACTCCTTCCCAAGAATGCGAAAAAAGAGTTAGGAGTAGGGGGAAGGGCTAAGGGCTAGAATTAGAATTGGGCCTTACTGTATGTCATCAATGATGCGACCATTCAGTTTAACTTATTAAGATTGCTTTAGTTCTATTGTTTTGCATTACTGCATCATTTGTGATGCAGTGACACCAGGCTAAATCTTTTTTTAAACAGATCGACCGCTTTTGTTGCTCATAAATTTTCCCCCAAAAAAGTATTTGCACTGCATGTATTAGGAGATTTGCAGTTGAAGTGCAGCATCCTTGATAATATAAGACAGTTTGCGTTCATTGAAACGGAACAATGAGTAAAAAAATCCATATGAAACAGTCCCTTAAAAGTGATGTTGCATTTTCAGTTTCATACTCAGCCGCACTTTTCATTCACATTACAAGCATACTGCACCTGAATCCAATCAAACCGCGCTCTGGCACACCTCTTCCAACCAGGCAAGAGCCAGCCAACCAAACCGTGCCAGGGTGCAGCACGGAGCACTCACACTTCTAAAAAGAACTGGGATGTAGTGGTCAACCTGGGCATGATTTGCATAGCCCAATGTGACTACACCCTTAAATATGTGCAAGTATACCATATTCTGGTATTTTTCAAAAACTACCTATAGCACCTTTAAATGTGAAGATAATAGAAACAAAATGGATGAATACAGTCTACATTAACCTTCTTATTAGTTACAAGATGGTGCCAAACAGTCAAGAACAGCAACATAAAAGGTTATGTTATGAATATGGATATTGTCCTTCACTAATGGACAAGATGCACTTGATGTCACACTGCACTTTTCTTCCCATAGACTTCCATTCATACGCACGCAAATGCATCAAGCTTGTGTGACAAACTTTGTATTTCGCTGTGTTGGAAAGTTCAAGCTTGGTAAACTCTGACCTGCAAAATTACATCACGTGATGGCATGAGACCAATCGAGGATCAAAGCATGACCTCTCAGGACAGGAATTTAAAACATGGACCAATCGCTCACTTTTTTAAATGTCTAATCATCGTGTTTAATCATGCTCCTTTTCGCAGCGCCGTACAATATAATTTTGAATGCACAAACTCCAGTGTGACTGTCAATACAGTGAATACAGTCACATTCATGTGCTGGTTTTACTTTTTGGTGCAATCTTGTGATTTAATAATAGGTAGGTTAGTTTGTTCTCCATCCAGCCATGTTTTTTATGTCAGCTTTGACCTTATTTAAGGAATTAATAAACTATTATTATTATATATCAGAACAGCATTTTGTGTCTCATTTTTATGTGCTATGGCAGGCAGTAGTGTAATATGTGGGATAAAGTACATCCTGGGAGTTGTTTTCACATAACAAAGCCCTTTAATCTTAACTGTCTGGTTGTTATGGTGGCCAGGAAGTGCAAAATAACATTACAAAGTGTGAAACACTTTTACAAAGCCTGAGAAAAATTTATATTTGAAAAAACATTTACATGGGGAAAACTATTTTACGAAGGACGAAACAAATTTACATTTTAAGAAAAAAATTAACAAGACGCAAAACATTTTTACAAGTCCCGAAACAGATTTACAATTACAGATTCCTCACGGAAAGGGAATGTACCACACACCGGAAGTGACGTGGAATGTACCACACACCGGGAGTGACCCGGAATGTACCACACACACCAGAAAAATCAACTCTTGTGTGACTTTGTTGAACATAGGTTTCCACGAGTTTACAACTATAAAAATAATAATTTGACCAACTGCGATAAAACATATTAGAGGTATTCTGAGAAAATATCAGTGTGAGAGTGTATTAAGTATTAAGAATCTTTATTCAGTAAGGGCATGTTTTGTTGCTGTGAAAAAGTGACGAATCTGCCAATCTGATTGTGAATACTTTACATCTGGACAGGGGCCTAGACGGCTTCATTCAGTTTACTGTTAAGAGTCCTCAAGCAGATGTTTACACCGTGTAGACTTGACTTCATGTCCATGATTACAGCGTATGAGTGTCCCTCTTTAAAATATTGAACACATTAGCTGCATCCCAAATCGCATACTTATGCACTATTCTACACCATTTTGTAGTTTAAATAGTGTAAGTAGTGTGTTCACACTGAAAACTCTAAAAACAATAAGTGCACTTTAATTACCCGGATGATGCAGTCATTCAGCCGCTAAAATGAAGTGTGTAATGATGGACACTTCACGCACTCAACGACCGCAGGTTTGCTCACGTAGTGGAAAGGGGCGGAGCTATCGGGTGCACGTGTTGGATAACTTTATTTATTTTGGATGGTGAAAGCAAAATTCTCCTACGAGAGTGATTATAGTGCCTCCCGATGGTGAATGCGGTTATACTCACGGCAGGTATTATTTGATAATCAAACGTCAAACGTCAAACGTCATCAAGGAAACGGTTTAAATTTCCGCTTAGTAAAAAATCATTATTGTGCCATTATGGACGACACTACATACATATATTATGCTGTTGAGTGTGTAAGTGCATAAGTACATAGTGCATGAGTGCATAGTGTAAAGGGTGCCATTTGGGACGCAGCTATTGATTCAGTATGTCTAGTGTTTCCATCTGGTCCACTTCCTTTAACTCTAAACACCGACCACACGTAAAGCAAAACCGCCTTAAGCTGCTCATGTGTTTGCCGAAAAACAACCCTCGACCGCAGTCCATGTTCAGTTACTGTAAACTTTGCTTACGCCATGTACTCCACAGCATGAATTTACCGCGCTCACCAACAACAAAAATTTTCCCCGCTGGACTCCCGGTGTACATTCCATGTCACTTCCGGTGTGTGGTACATTCCCTTTCTGTAAGGAATCTGTAATTGTAAATTAGTTTCGGGACTTGTAAAAATGTTTTGCGTCTTGTTAATTTTTTTGGACGAAACAAATGTAAATTTTTTTCGTCCTTGGTATGTTCGTCCTTACAGTTTCAAAATGTAAATTTGTCTCAAACTTTGTAAAAGTGTTTCACGCTTTGTAAGGTTGTTTTGCACTTTCCGGCCACTGTAGGTTTTAACTGTCCATGCACATAATCCCTTACATAACATACATTGGAATGGCATGATTGACCAATCAGAATCAAGTATTCCAGAGAGTTGTGTAATAAGTAAAACATAGAAAACATATCTAGAAAACTGTAGGCAGGTGTTATTCATGTAAGACCTAAATTGATTAAATTATTAGTCCTAATGTTTTGTGTATACTTACAGATAATTGCATTACTTACAGCAAATTAGATTTAGGGTTTCACTGTTGTCCCAGACATCAGAATTTCTGTGTTCAGAACAAGTTAAGTAAAATGTTCTGATGATGTATTGCTTTTTCAGGGTGAACTCGGCCTTCCTTGACCGTCTGGAGGCGAGCGGTTCAGGTGTCAGGGTGTCTGAACCTGTGACCCAAACCCTTGAAAGCAGTAACGTCTGGCTGGAAGAGGATGACGAACCACAGGATACAGCTTTATCCACATCACGCAACCCATCCCAGGTCCATACAGACAGTGCAGAGGAGGATGGTGAGTCTTAAGATTTATATGCATCCGCCATGGCACTGTGTGTGTTTAGGTCTGTTTCATTTCACAGCACCTCTGGAAACGTCTCCATTGCGTAGATCTCAAAGCCTCCACGTGTGTGTGATGTTAAACAGATCTCTCACCCCCGTTGTCGGACAGCATCAAACGTTGTGTAAATAAAAATTTCCCGCTACACCAGAGACTGTGATGCTTTTTGATTCCCTTGTATACACGATCTGCCTACATTTTGAGAGGTTAATGTCAATTATGTGACAGTAAGCAAGAAATTCATTAGCCCGAGTTGATGTGTTTTGAGGTCTGAATTGCCTGCTGTAAAATAAACTCTTTTGGCCTTGGAGAAACTTGAATTATTGGCATGGCTGTCTGAACACAGACTGATTAATCACTTGTCTGAATGTGTCAAAGTAGTGACTGCTGCAAAAACATTGGTTTGCTCTTCGAAATCCAGTCTGGCAGCATTGTCATTGCTTGGAAATGTGCCATGTTGTCTTCTGACTTGCATTGTGCTAGTGTGGGTTAGAGAAATAGTTTGAAATGAAAATCAATCTGTATTATTTACTCACCCTCATGTCGTCATGTCGCTGTAGGATTTTTTAACATAACATGAGAATTGTTGTACGGCTCTTTCCATAAAAAGACAGTTCACACAGCAATTTCCAAAATGGGCATGTGTTTTTAACCATTATAAGTACCTAAAGCAGTGCATTTGATGCACCATATTCCAGGTCTTCTGAAGCTAAGTCTAGTCTTTGTAGGAGGAACATTCTGCATTCCCAAATCAATTTACTGTATATATACAAAGGATGTAATATACTCCACAGTTTCCTTTGCAATAGTTCTTATTAATATTTCGAAAGTTTAGATGCTGTTTTTTTGTTTGTTGTTGATGAAAATGGGGTGACGCAGTGGCGCAGTAGGTAGTGCTGTTGCCTCACAGCAGGAAGATCGCTGGTTCGAGCCTCGGCTGAGTCAATTGGTGTTTTTATGTGGAGTTTGCATGTTCTCCCTGCGTTCATGTGTTTTTCACATGATGCTCTGGTTTCCCCCACAGTCCAAAGACATGTGGTACAGGTGAATTGGGTAGGCTAAATTGTCCTTAGTGTATGAGTTTGAATGAATGTGTATGGATGTTTCCCAGAGATGGGTTGCTGCTGGAAAGGCATCCGCTCTGTAAAACATACTGGATAAATTGGCAGTTAATTCTGCTGTGTCAACCCCAGATTAAAAAAGGGACTAAGCAGAAAAGAAAATGAATGAATGAATAAATGATTGTTGACGTAACTGTTCAAAATGAGTATTTCATCTTTACACTAAGCATTATACCAGAGATGACCAAACAACGGCCTGCGGGCCAAAGTGTGCCCATTGTAACCTTTGATTTGGCCCACCATCTCATCTGAAAAGAGATTAAGAATGATGGGCTGGGTCAGGGCAAATGATTTTAACAGAGACTGTCATTTGTAATTGAAAATAACCTTTATTGTTTGTTGTATTGCTGAAGTACAAAAAAAGCTCATTCTGAAAACGTAGTTCTATATACCTTTTTGGAGATCACAAATTATGTAGCCAGAGCAATTTAAAACGAATGCTACGGGCCGGTATGATGTCGTTCCTTTTCACGGTTAACAGCTGACCGATTACCTCCATATGGACGGCTTACCAGTTTGTACAGTAGCTTGCCATGTATGTCGACAGACTTAAGACGCAGAGAGGAGTTGACCACAATGATGGTGTTCGAGTCTGGTGAAAATTGAATAAACAAGTAAATAACAGGATTAGAATGTGGAAAAATCTGAAACCGTGGTAACAATCAGATGAGGGCTTTTAATTTTTTGATTTGCTTTTGAAAATTGTTGGTTGGGTTTAGGAAAGTTGGGTCAATCAATACAATTGGTTGGGTTTAGGGAAGGAGGAAGGTGGGTCAGTCGATCAGTCAGTCAGTTAGTTAGTCAACAGTGGTCTCTGACGCATTTACGCTAGAAGAGCAGTTGTGAATGGCACTTTCAAGATAAATGTGAGATCTGAAAATGCTTACACAGCAGCCTCTTGTGGATTGGCGAATACAAAAACTTAAAAAAACGTAGCTCCTGGGACGTATTTGGTGGTCTACAGAAATGTATATAGAGGTATGTTTTCAGAATGAGCCTGGGTTGAAAACAAGCCAACTGAAATTGTTTCATTTAAAAGTTCATTGTAAATACGTAAATAAATACTTAGTAAAAATTTAAATACTGTCAATCAACAAATTGAGGACAATGCTGAAGACATCTGCGAGCAAATCAAGGCAAAATCAGGTGCAACTTGACTAGTGTAACTCTATTCTGCTGTAAATGAGATAAGTCCATTATATAACGTAAAAAAATGTATACTGTATTCGTTAATACATAGCAATGTTTTTTAGCTATTTTTAAATATTATTGAATAAATAAAAAAGTCCCATGGCAACTATATGTCACTTCAGCCCTCAATCTAGTTTGGTTTTTGGCCCTTCATAAGAAAATGTTTGGGCACTCCTATTTTATGCAGTACATTCACTGTAAGTTTTGATTAAAATTAAAAATGAGTCTTTCGGGATTTCTTATAAATCTCTCTGTATGAATCTTTCAAGATGTGACCTTACAACATAAACCACAAAACAAATATTCATTTGATAAATTTACATTTTAATTTGAATGAGTGGCTTAAAAATACGTCTTTTCTGACTGAAAAAAAAAATTCCATACCTTTTTTATCGACATAATAGGACATAACTTCATTTCCATGATGTGGTGAAAACCAATAGGATCTGATAATCAGAATATTTGTCTACATTTCTGCATTTTTCTCAGTCTGTGCACAATTTTTCACACATCTTGACAGACGATTCTCATGTGAAAGTCTTACCGCATTTTTAACATAAAGATAAAGCGATCAAGGAAGTGTTTTTTTTTACCTTATTCACTGCTTAATGTGCATTACATTTTACATATATTTTAAGTAGACATTTTAAAGCTAAATAAAAAGTTAGTTTAGGGACTACCACAGTAATAAGAATCAATTTTATAGAATTTGTGCACTTTTTATAGTTTTTCAGTAACATCATAAAAACTGAATTTTTTTGAGCATTAAATGTAAAAGATCTCCAATGAATGTGTTTCATTACAAACAAACCAATGAATAAATAACGCATCATACAGCAGAATAATGTAATAGTGAATAAAAAGAGTTTACATTTCTCATTTGATAGCCTGATTACATGGTCATTTTAATATTAAAGGAGTCAAAACTGTTTATTTTGCTTGTGCATATTTTTGTACTTTCTGTCATGAACACTCTCGATATTTAGTATGGTAATGAATATTTACATGGCAATGTTGATGTATTTGGTCTTGGCAGTATAGATCTGCTACATTGCTGCTGCTTTGATCATTAAGGCTGAGCAAGTACCGAGACCTGCTACTGCCAGTATATACACAGACATGTCGTCTGAGAGTATTAATATATATATACATATATATATATACATAACCCCCGCAGCAGACCTTAGACAGGTGGAGCTGGGGTTGAGGAGGGTCTCTGAAAACGCACCACAGTTAAACAGCGTAAATGCGGAGCATTTAAGCTGATGAGAAGCGAGCTCATTGGCTGCCGAGGTGGAAGCAACAAACCTCCTGCGCCATGTAGTTAATGATGCATGAGCAGATTAGGTGACCTATCAGCCTATGCAGGCATAGAGTTATATGGCAAAAATTTCACTTATGTAAACAATTAATCCGTGCAAGTTAATCCACTGAATTCTTTTTGTTGTTGTTTGTTGGTGATCTTCAGTCAAAGTCTGACCATTTGTTTGCACATTTGAGTGGTAGTCCTTTAGTGTTGAGGAATGATACGCGAAAAGAAAGCTACACCCCCTACTCAGTATATTATTTCAGCTGGAAGTACATCAACATACACAAATAAAAGTCTTACCAACTTTTCTCTGACTTTAATGTCCAATATTAATTATTATTCTTACTAAATGTTCTTTATATTGACAATGGTAATGAGAACAGTTGTTGAATTTGCTTTGACAAACACGTATGGAACTTGTATAATTTACACAGACACAGTTTGAGCCTCCTAACTGAGATTTGGAAATGAGCTATGGTCTGATTCAGCCTGAATCTTGCTCCATATGTGCAGCGCTTCACCTTTTTCATTCTGCAGAGCCTGTGGGCTGCTGTGTGATGGTGTGGGACTAATGTGCCATTCACAATGAAACAGTCCACAAATCTTCTCGGATGCCTAATGACACATTATATTTGTGTGTTCAGCATCACTTACATCTGAATCACTGGAAAGACCAAAGGTTGAATCCTCAGCTGAGGTTTGGGGTCAGCCAGGTCCTCCGATTCTCAAACTCACACCTCTGTCTCTGATTACCAGAAACATTAGATGTTTTTGTCTCCAAACCAAGAATGACCTTTTGTCTGGCTGAAGCTCGGCTTACTCACTGTAGAGATACAGGGAGGACCAGAACTGGCTTATGAGGCTTGGTGATCACCAAGTTCAGAGGGTGAATGAAGAGTAACTACAAACATTCTATGTTAATATAAAACATACACTCACTGGTCACTTTATTAGGTACACCTAACTAGTACCGCGTTGGACCACTTTTGCCTGCAGAACTCCCTTAATCCTTCATGGCATAGATTCAACAAGGTACTGGAAATATTACTCAGAGATTTTGGTCCATATTGACATGATAGCATCATGCAGTTGCTGCAGATTTTTCTGCTGCACATCCATGATGTGAATCTCTTGTTCTACCACATCCCAAAGGTGCTCTTTTGGATTGAGCTCTGGTGACTTTGGGGGCCATTTGAGAACAGTAAACTAATTTTCATGGATCAGTGAACTTATGTTCAAGAAACCAGTCTGAGATGATTCACGCTTTATGACATGGCACCTTATCCTGCTGGAAGTAACCATCAGAAGATGGGTACACTGTGGTCATAGAGATG